CACACCGGGGGATCAGAAACTCCACACAAATGAATTTGGGGAATGGGGGACACAAAATCCCCTCCAGAGTATGGGTGACTCTGAGATTAATGCTGAGCCACCAGGCCTCAAGGATCAAACTGTATCTCCACACTCAAGACAAGCTGAGGTAAAAGGAGCTCAGAAAAATCCAACAGTTTCACACGGAAGGTAGCAGCTAAAAGGGCAGCGTTTAGCATGATCGACACAAACTGCAGGAAGACAGCTGTGTCAACAGGGAAACAAAGCTCCAGGTTACAAGATCTGAGGGGAAGTGTCCTAAGACACGGGGTCACCCACCTCAGGGCCTCCACGAACCCCCAGGAAGGGAAGAGCAAATCTAGGCAGAACTGTGAAGAAACTCAAAAGGTCAGATGATCTATGACAGTGTGGTGAGTACGGCCCTGACTACACAGCCAAGCTGCTCTAGACAGGACCAGCCACGGAGGCCAGATGTGCAGGCATGAGCACCTGCCATGAGGAGGGGAGAAAAAAAAAAAATCAAACCTCATCCAGCTGTTTTCTCACCTTTCACACAGGGAAAATCCCCTAAACAGCATGACAGCATGAGATCTTTATTATTATAAATGTTCTACAGAAATCTACATAAGATAACACATAAGCTATGGACTAAGCCCAAGACCCGAATCCCAACACCTGCACTAGGAGATTATTTCTTTTATTTTAATTAATTTCATAATATTCTAAAATCTTTATTACATTTGTTTATTGGGAGGTGGGAGTGCTTGTGTGTGGAGGTCAGAGGACAACTTGAAGGGAATCAGTTCTCTCCATCCACCCTGTGGGTCCCAAGAGTCAGGTCATCAAGCCTGGTGACAAGTGACTTTACCCACTGAGCCATTTCTCTGGCCCCAGATTATTTTGTGTCTGGTGTTTCTGATCTTGCTGGTTTAAGGTGACTCATCCAGTTGTAAGCCCAGAGGGAGACAAGTATCAAAAGAGATAGCTTCACAGGAAGCTGACCCACATTTCTACTTCCTTCATCACATACTAGTATCCAGAAGGGAGGGGGTGGGATGGAGAGGGGATTCCAGTGCATAAGACCCTCCCCACCAATCCTGAATAGAAGACATGGAGCCACAGATAATATGGCCTGGGATTTGATCCCACTCTGCGTGAGTTTCTGGACTTTTCTTCACAGGTGTGGACACCATGTATCAGAACAGAATACACCGGAACACCACAGCAGACTATTTCAGAGGGAAAGGCCCTGGTGTTGGATATCCACTGGACTGAGAGCTCACAGTCTCTGAGTCCGGCCATGTTATGTTTCTTTTACTTGTGTCATAGTAGATGGAGCTGTGGGGCTTCTGCCTGGGGCTTGTGACTAGCTGTGGGTGGGGCTTCCTCTCTGTGCATCTAAACACAATCAACCAGTCAATCACTATCCTTTACCCTTACCCCCTCCTCCCTCTGTTTTTTGAGCCAGGGTCTCTTCACATAGCCCTGACTGGCTGGACCTTGCTATGTAGACTGGGCTGGCTTCAAACTCACAGAGATCCTCCTGCCTCTGCCCCCTCAAGAGTGGATTCAGGCGTGCCCCACCATCATGCTCGGCTTAAAGCACAGCCTCTCTGAATGTGCTGCCTGGGGCCTTCCTGGAACTTCTTTCCGGTGCCACAGACAACCAATCAGCTCTTTCCCCAAGTGTCTTCAGGACATAATAAAAGAACAAATACTAAAAGACCCCAGTGAAGGGTCCCATCACCACACCCTTTCACCCCAGCTACTGAAAAGCCCAAGGAGCAGGTAGGTGATGCACACTAAGGGCTGAACCACCTACCACAAGTAAGCAGCTCCTGTGACACTGTGCCAGGCCAGCTGTCCACAGCCTGGTTCTCACACTTTCACCATCACCGTACCGTCTATCTTACAACTCAGGACATCCCCACAGTGCTTCTGAAACTCAGATCTGATTCTGTGCAGTGTGTACTTGTTGGTGGGTGTGTGTGTGTGTGTGTGTGTGTGTGTGTGTGTGTGTGTGTGTGTGTGTGTGTAGGGGTGTGTGTGTGCGTAGGCAGAGAGCAATGTGGGGTGTCCTTCACTCTCCACCTTATATTTTGACAGAATCTCTTACGGAACCTGGAGCTCACCAGTTGGCTCGGCTGGCTGGCCAAGGAGCTTTCACTAGGACTGCATTCACGTCTGTGTCCATGTGGCCCCCTCACCGCTCTCCTTTCCCCATAGCGCCCTCCTGACATCCAGCCCCCAGAATCCCGTCTCACATCTCTCCTCAGGCCTCTGCTCAGACTGCTGCCTAAATTCTTCCTTCCTTGGTCATTTTAGGACCAGTTGAAACAGCAACTCCCCTGCGAAGGCCCCTCTGTGCTCTATCCTAGTCTGCCATCACAGCCCTGAATGATGGAGCTGGGCACATTTCCCCCTTTTAACGACTGTCTCGGACTGGGGGCTTGCCACACACGGTGGAAGCGAAGAAATGACTCCAAGTCATCCTCTGAGCACTGTGATGTGTACATGCATGTGCACATGTGCTCTCTCTCTCTCTCTCTCTCTCTCTCTCTCTCTCTCTCTCTGTCTCTCTCCACTCCAGCTATCCTCCCCTCACACACACCCTTTAAAAGCAATGCCATTAATAGCTGTCTTTTTTCTGTTGGAGCCCCTGGAAGGCAGGGGCTCTCCTTCATCCCTCTTCATATTATTTTTGTTGTTGTTTTTAAATGTGTACAGGTGTTTTACCTGTATGAATGTCTGTACCCTCAGAGGACAGAATAGGGAGTCTGATCCCCAGGACTGGAATTGTAGGCCATTGTAAACTGCCCTGTGTGCCAGGATTAAAGTGGGGTACTCTGAAAGAGCAGTGCTCTTAGCCAGAGTCACTCCATCCCCTCCTTCATATTCTTCAGCACAGTCGCCCCAGACACACACAAGCATTCAACACACAGGAAGGAAGAGAGAACAGGCCCCCTCAGACTCTGTCCTCTTAGTCTTCAGGACTGACCTTGGTAATTCTTTGGAGCTAAGGGCAGACCATTTTTTGTTTCTTTGACCCTTTATTCTCCCAGGATGCATGCTTTCTAAATGGCCAAGTCTGTGACAGACCAAGGATCACAGGCACACAATCTGACTGCAATCAAAACATGAGGGCCCTTCAATCTCAGGATTGAGCCTGGAGTGGGTGAGATTTTTACTCGGGTTCTATGTGCCATTAGGCTGAGCAACTGTTCAGAGCCACTGAGATCAGGGAGCAGGGAATCCTTCGTGCTTAAATTAAGCCTGATTTACTTCCCAAAACATCTATGTGGGGAGCTGGAGAGATGGCTCAGAGGTTAAGAGCACTAGCTGATCTTGCAGGAGACCTGGGTCCTGTTCCCAGTACCCATGTGGTGGCTCACAACCATCTATAACTCCAGTTTCAGGGGTCCAAATCCCTCTTCTGACCTCCAAGTGTACCAGGCACACATGCAGCAAACACACACATGAAAATAAATAAATCTAAACCAATAAACAAAAACCTTGGGAGAATCTATGTGAAAGAGGTATCCTACACCCGGTCTTTACCACTCTTCTGGTAAAAGGCCTGCTCATATTACCTGATGACTTAATCGTATAATTCAGTGGCTTTTAATGCAGTCACGAAGCTGAGTGACAACACCATTGCACAATTCCAGAAAGCTTGCATCACCCCAAAAGAAGCCCCAAACCTGACCAGTCCATTCTTTCTCCAGGCTCTGGTAACCATCTATCTGCTTCCTATTTCCGTGGGTTTGTCTATTCTGTGCATTTCCTATAAATGGGAGCATACTGTGCTGCAGGTGGCCCTTGGTGTCTAGCATGGTTCACTTAGAACTTACATCTTCAAGGTTTGGCCACACCCAGTACCAATAAGCTCTATCATGGAGCTCTCCCTCGGCTCTACATCCATTTTTTTTTAGTTCAGTTCAGTTTTTCAAGACAGGGTTTCTTTGTGTAGTCCTGTCTGTCCTGGAACTCACGCTGTAGACCAGGCTGGCCTCAAACTCAGAGATCTGCCTGCCTCTGCCTCCCAAGTGCTGGGATTAAAGGCATGTGCCACCACCGCCCAGCTCATTTTTTTAAAAAGGATGTTTTTCTTTTTGGTAGAGTATGTAGGTACATGCATGTGTGCACACATAGGGAAGCCAGAGGGCAGACTCAAATGTTTGCTCAGGCACCATCCACCCTGTTTGTTGAGACAAGGTCTCTCACTAAACCTGGAGTTCACCAAGTAGTTAGGCTGGCTGGCTAGCGAACACTAGGGATCCATCCAACTGCCTCCACCTCCCCAACATTGGGATTACAAGTGTGTACCACCACACCACGCTGTTCTTACGTGAGTGCTGGGATCAAACAGAGGGGCTCAGGCCTTGACCAACTGAGCCATCTCTCCAGTCCAAAACAGGATTTCTTTAATGAAGAATTTGAATAACAACTTAGGCCGGGTTGGCACCATGGGCCTCAGGTATCCACAATCACCTCAACCCTCCCACTCACATACCCAGGACTTCATAGCACTCTGAGTGAGCTGAATCCCAGGTTATTTCTTTGTAAATATTTCAGGAAAGACATAATCACCATGACAGCTCATAATTAAACTGGGCAAGGTTTAATAAAGACTTTTGTTTTTTTAATAATTTATTTTCACTTTATGTTTATTAGTGTGTAAATGTGTGTGTGTAAATGTATGTGCATACAAATTTGTGAGCATGCATGTCTGCATGTATGTCTATGTGAGGGAGGGTGTCAGATCTTGGAATCACAGACAGTTTGTGATCTCACAGAGATCCGCCAGTCTCTGCCTCCTGAGTGCTGGGATTAAAGGCGTGCGCCACCACCGCCTGGGGTTCAGAGCCTTCTTAATGCTCGTATTAGGAAAGACAGTGGACGAGTGAACACCCACTTGATCAAGGGAGGGCGAAACAAAAAGGAAAAAGAAGAAAGGAGGAAGAAGTGGGGGGGATGCGCACACGATAGAATCCTCTTACCTTTTTGTGTCCGATCAGGAGGCAGTTGGAGTGCTCGTGTTCACATGCAATCTCATAGTCGGGAAGCAGATCCACCAGCTCCTGGACAAAGCGGACCACTTCCTCGTGCCAGGGCACGTTGGCCATGGTGAGACTGCTGGCTGCGCTCTCGCCACAGTAGGTCACGCCCTGTGGGAAGGACAGCAGTCACAACCTCTCTGTGGGTGACAGCTTGTGCCGGTCACATTTCGTTATCAAGTGGACTGGACTGAGGAGACACATCACTGGACTCGTCTATGAGAATGTCTTCAGAAAAGGCTAACTGAGGTGGGAGCCATACTGAATATGGGTGGTACCATCAATGGGCTGGGGTACTGGACTGAATAAAAAGGAGGAAGTGAGCTGAGCCCCAGCATCCATCTCTGCTTCCTGACTGTGGATGTCATGTGACCAGCTGCCTCATACTCTTGTCACCAGAACTTCCTGTGGTGACACAGGAACCATGATGTGAGCCTTTTCTTGCTGAAATCACTTTTGTAAGGTATTTTCTCACGTTACTACGAAATGAGTAACTAATACAGATCCCAGTGAAATTCTGTAAGAAGATAACTAATTTTCATTCTGTCTGTCTATATGGCCTAGGCTGGCCTACAATTTGTGCAGAAATCCTCCTGCCTCTGTCTAGGCACTGGGATTACACATGTGTATCACCATACCAAACTTGTGATATGATTTGAGTATGGTTTTTAAAAAAGATTTATTTATATCTCATGCCTGGGAGTCTTCGCCTGCATGTATTTATGCACTCCACATGCATGCCTGGTGCTTGTGGAATCCAGAAAAGGGCGTTGGATCCCATGGAGCTGGAGCTACAGGCAGTCATGAACCACCAACATGGGTGCTGGGAACTGAGTTTAGGTCCTTGGCAAGAGCAGCAAGAGCTCTTAACTGCTAAGCCATCTCTCCAGTCCCACTGAGTGTGAAATTTATAAAAATAAAGTATTATATATTATACAGACTGAGCAGGTTATGTTTAGGAATATATAGGTATATATTTTATAGTCATATAACAATAATGAATGAAAAAAGAGGCCATGAATTTGAAAGTGAGCAAGAAAGAGTATATGCGAGAGCTTATGAGGAGGAAAAGGAGGGGAATCACGTAATTATAACCTCAAAAATAAAAGAATTAAAGATAAATAAGTATCACGCCAAAGAAGCATTTGTGGATTTTCACACAAGCCTTCCCTATTTTACCAACGTGGAAACTCCTATTAAATACAACTATAGTGAGATAAGGTGGCTTCTAATTCTGACCCCTCCCTGTGAAGCCAGACACATCCCCCAAATCTCCTCAGTCCTCCACTTGGCAAATTACAGAGTAGGAAATGATTCTTCTCCAACCAGACGGTGTATCTTCAGACATCTCCAGATCAGACCTTTTGGTTTGGTTTTGAGATGCTCATGTATCCCAGGCTAGCCTCAAATTCAGTCTGCAGTCTGCTGAGCGTGCACTCCTGATGTTCCCGACTCTACGTCCTGAATGCTGGGATGACAGCTGTGGCCATCATGCCCAGCTCAGAACTGGACTTTCTCAACAGCTGGTTTCCATATTCCAGACACAACTGAAACAAGGGCATAGGCACTGCCTACAAGCCCCACTCCCGCCCCTTAGCCCAGCAGTGAAGGCCTGCGCCTTTAAATGCTAATCCCAGCAGAGGTCAGCAGAGGTGGCCTAGTCTACAAGTGGGATTCAGGACAGCCAGGGCTGTCACACAGAGAAACCCTGTCCTGAAAACCAAAAACCAAACCAAATCAAACCAAAAACCCTGTCCCGATACATACATACATACATACATACACACACACATACACACACACACACACACACACACACACACACACACACACACACACACAGAAAGAGAGAGAGAGAGAGAGAGAAACACATACACATATGCCACACATACACCACACACAGAGACACAATATACACATCCCACATACACAGGCACCACAGATATATAGAGACAGATACTGTACATACACACACACACACACACACACACACACACACACACACACACACACACACACACACACACTACATGCACTGTGTGAGAGGCACAACCGCATCATAGTAAAAAGAAAAGCCCAGCCTACCAATGAGCCTTAGGTAACCCGCCCCTACAGATGGCAGAGCTGGGACTTGGCCTGAGACTCAGATGAGCTCTGCAAACCCTCGCTGCAGATGGCTGCCCGCTGCAGATGGCAGGTCACAGGTCCTGCGGACACTGTACCCAAATGCCCTCCGCTGAGTGCTAACTACCCACAGCCCTGCTTCCTTAGACTAAATGGGGAAATGGCCTCTGTTTGCTCAGGGATTTGGAGAATTCATTAGGCTGAGCTGCAGTGGATTTTAAAAAGCAATGGTAACACAGTTCAAGACATCATTAGGAAAATCAAGTTGGAAAACTGTGCTACTAACCCGAATGCTCAAAGGGCAGTGAGAGGGCTTACAGACAGGTCATCAGATTTCCATGCTGCTATGATACGCGAGTTATGCAATTGTGTGGAAAAGCTATCTCGGAGGAACTTTCTGTTAACATTTAAAAGATCCCCGAAGCACAGAGCTCTCAGACAAGCTCTTATATTCATTACTATGATTGAGGGAGACATTTTAATATTTTATTACTCAGCAATAACAAATCATGAGATGCTAAGGGGGACTCAGTGTGAAGATGGACTGTACGCTGCAGTTCATTAAAACCCTCAGTGTTTGTCGCTTGTAGCCCAGGCTGGCTTCCATTGCCCTGTGTAGCCAAGGATGATCCTAAACTCCAGCCCCTCCTTCCCACATGCCAGGTTGACAGGCATGAGCCACCAATCCTGTCTCCTGCAGTGCTGGGGATGGACGGGGCTTTTTGTGCCTGCCAGGCCAGCACTCGGCCAGCAGGGCCACAGCCGCCCTGACAGTTCAGTCTGCTCTCTGATAAGCACGAACCAACAGTTCAGTGGGAGTTAGGCATCTATGTCAGCTTGGCTGATTCATCCCCGAGGGGTGTCTGTGAAGGTGTTAACTCAGGAGGAAGCCCTGAATGAGGGTGGCGCCATCCCAGGTGGGGAGGACCCAAACTGAATAAAAAGGAAGGCCGCCAAGATGGCTCAGGTACAAGTGCTTTGTCACCATGCCCAAAGACCCGAGTTGATCCCCAAGTCACACGATAGGAGAATGCTGACTCCCCAGACCTGACCTTACTGTTGGAACATGGCCCAAGAACAGAGTGGTGTGAGGGGAGTTCTGGTGCTCGTGAGAAAACAAGACAAGAGTCTTGTGACCTCAGTGTCTTCAAAAACACGGACTTGTTCTTGGAACGTGTTTTTGCTCCCCTCCCAGGCAAAGCTGACAGGAGTGAGTTTACTTCAGACAATCCATGACACCTGGCTACTGTTGTTGGTTTATATGCCTCTATGGAAAAACGTGCTTTGCCATGTACATACATCTTGCTCTTGTGATTATATGCAGCTTGACCTCACGGTGAACTTTACTCATGTGACCTCTCTTAACCCTCCGAGTATAAATTGTCTGATGCTCTGAATAAAGCTGGCTATTGCATGAGACTTTAGTCCGCCTCACGTTTAGGCTCCGTTTTCCCAGGTTCCACGGCCTTTACAGTAAGGTAAACACACTTTCAAATGACTCCCCCCCACCCCGCCTCTCTCTCTCTCTCTCTCTCTCTCACACACACACACACACACACACACACACACACACACACACACACACACACAAATGTATTTTCTTAATTAAGGAAAAAAGGTTGAGTGTGGTAGGCCATACCTTTAATTCCTACATTCCGAAGAATCTGTGAGTTTAGAGCGAGCCTTGTCTACAAAGTGCATTCCAGGCCAGCCAGACTACAAAGTGTAAGACCCTTTCTCCAAAAATGAATGAATGAATGAATGAATGAATGAATGAATGAAAAATAAACTGAGATTAAATAAAAAAGGAACAAAGGAGAAAGCCATCAAAACGCTAGTGTTCGTCTTTCTGCTTACTGATCCAGCTAGATGTAACAGGCTGCCCCACACTGCCACTATCAAGCCTTCCCCTTGATGATGGACTCTAAGTAGCTCCTCAAACCACAAGTACGTACACACACACACACACACACACACACACACACACACACACACACACACACCCCTACCCTCCTGTAAATGGCCTCTTATGGAGTATCTGGGTGCAGTAACAAGAAAAACAACTGATCCAGCATCACTACAGGCACAAGTAACCGGCAACCTCCTGACCTTGACCCTAACCCTGCATGTGCACAGTGAGGGGAGATGCTTACTCGCTTTGCTCTCCTAGGTTTGAGCCCTGGGAACAGTTTTGGTGCTAACAGAGGGTAGCTTTAAAAACATCACTTAACAACAGTAATTACCAAGCCCTTCCTGGTCTCAGCAGAGAGCGCAAACACAGGACTTCCTACGAACGGGCTCCGTGATTCAAGTTTTCAATGCAGCAGATGTTTGTAACGTGAAGCACATTTTTACCAACAAGCAGGCAGATAATGAGGGCTGAGAATCTCAGGCTCACAAATGAAGGCCCCATTCAAGCCTAATGAGGCTAAAATACACGTTAATTTACAGGGAATATAAAAGAAAAAAATATTTTACCAGACTGGCAATGAAAGAAGAGAGGAAATCAATATAATGAAGAGATAGCATCTACTGATTTATTTTATATAAAGTGCCTAATGGGAGGCAGTGTAAACATTTACTGGATCCAGGCACAGATTATCCCACTGAATTCTCACACAAACAAACTTCTTGAAGGATTATTATTTTAAGGCAGGTGGCGGGTGAGGGGGTGCATACCTACAATCCCAGCTCTTGGGGAGCTGGGACAAGAGAGAGAGAGATTCCAGACCAGCTTGGGCTCCACAGCCAGACACCTGCCTCTGAGAATAGACAATATTGTCATTCTAATTTTAGGACAGATAGTTTAGTTTGAAAGGCCACACTGGCACATGTGGAATTTGTGCATCGAAATATGAACAAGCTGGCTGAGCCAGGACGCGCGCTTCCTGCCAAGCCTGACCACCTGAGCTGGATCCCTGGAACCCACACGGGGGAAGAGGAAAAGCACCCCTGCAAGTCGTGGGCTGACCTCCCCATGCACCCGT